CACCACCTGAGGACCACTCACCGCAATACCACTTGGTCTTCGAGACCACCAGGCTGGCAGTAAGACGGCTTCGGACGGTTCCTCACTCATGGTCACTATTGGAAGGCCACCCCTATATATATGGTTTAGCTCCCGCGTTACTGTGACGCGCTCCTGGTTCATTTCCCGGTTACAGACCTGGACCTAAAATGCCTCAAGAGTTCTTCGTGCAAATGTTTGCGATTCACAAGATATCAGAACATCTCTCATTACAGGCGGACGTTTCCATGTTACCATGCTGGAGTGTGCTAAATGACATCAAATCTTGCTTCAGGGATCATATTCAAAGCAGTTAAGAGGGATCTCACTAGGGTTTTCTAGTCGTTTCATGACTAAAATGAAGAGAATATGTTTTATTTTCTCCTAGGTTATGTTTACCAGTAACGATGCAGCCACCTACAGTAATGATTGTGCAAAAGATAGGGCGTGTGACAGGGGCGTGGCTTGGAGCAGGGCAGGTTTCCTACCAGTTGTAGCTGGATCAGAATGCATCATTGGTGGAAAAAAAACCTCCGTGGTGCGCTCCAATCCAAGCCGCGTACACACCCTATCGTTTGCGAGGATCACGACTGTAGATGCAGTTCAGGACATTCGACGTGTGGCATCCTGTATGAATCGGGAGGTGGGCAAGAGAATCGCAATTTGCCGCTCCGTCGCGTGCGGCGATGGGCGCGGTGTTTTTTTAACTCGTGTTAACCTGTATTGAAGCACCGGACTTCATGTAGACCCTGTCATCGTAGACATTCATGACTATTTTCGGTTCTGAATTGCCTGTTGTCGCCATCTACTACCTGGAACCATCGTCATTTGCGGGCGCGACGTCGCACGCGACGCCCACCAGCGCGGCGAATTACGATTCTCTTGTCATATACCCATATGAATCAGCCAGCATTCTTAGCTACTTGACTCGACATGGCACTTTGGCGTAAAACTAACTGCGCCATGGTAGCCCACATGCTGGAAGATTGCTTCTTCCGTTCCAAGCGTTGACGATCACTGTGTGAATGCCATTTCGAATTATTGGGCGCTAAGGGATTTTTTTAGTGTGGGGTGGGGAGCAGGGGCTACTATCTGTGCCTTCATCTAACCAAGACTTAGGCTCAGAGCGCAGACGAACAGAGTCGCCGAAGGACAAGCTCACAGAGAAGGCATAGTCTTAAGTGCTCAGATGAGCTTCGGCTAGATGAAAGGAACTGAGACCGAGCGGTAAACCTCGTCAAGCACACTCCTTATCCCAGAGACGGAGTAGGCGTGGCTGCACGCTTCATTTGAACGTGCCGTAGAAAGGCGTTTCTCGTACCATTTGGGACAACTGCCTTCCCGTGTGATTACAAGTATCCCGAAATATCTCACCGCAAGCACTGTAGCAGCCACGCCTCCTCTACCGCCGGGATGCTGACCATGAGGATACTTGAGCACCAATCGCTGAACAATGACCGTGAAAAAATCTTCAAATCAAATGGTATGGGCCGTAGCCTGCCATAAAGTGGTCAAAGTTCCACGTCGAGTCAACTAGCCAAGAAAGCTTATTTGTACGCGATGCCGTGCTTCAGATGACCTGAACTACACCCCAGCTAATTGTACCGCCTAGTACAAACTACTCGCAAAATATTTAGGTTAGATGTTTGAAGATTATGATGATAATCTATTTCCTTGGCCATGTTTGTACATAGGGATGTGTTATAAGCCATCTTCAAATAATAGTGTTTTCAGTTGTTTGACGAGAATAAAAGTATATGATTATTTATAGTCGATATAGCAAACTAACAAGCAAAAAAAAATAGAAAAAATGAACAATGTGCCACTGTACGGTAACAAATCATAACTATAAACAACTAACTATAACATTCAAAATCTAACCTAATTTGCGATTAACCAGTACATATAACTTTCGAAATTACACTATCACCTCGCAGAACTTGTTTTACTGTAATTGAGGCCTCTTTTGGGGTCGAGGAATGACGATTATCTTCTCTTTCCCTCGTTGATATCCATGTAGTTAGGATCAGCTATGTTCAACATAAGGCCACCAGCAGGTAGGTAAACCTGGAACAAAGCCTGGTCAATTAGGGCCAATATTCAAGAAAAATGCGGCGCAAATCGGCAGTGGCGGGGCATTTCGCTTTTTTGCCACTTCCCATCAACAGGTCGAGCCACCAAGTGGGTGAGGCCACGAAAAGATACAAGTCATTTTCTAGAGATCACCTGTACCCTTATAAGGAGCACCTGTAAACCCCTCATAAACCCATGATGTAATTCATTTCATGAGCTAACAAGAGTTCACAGGTTTTATCGTGAGTCGACTAGCTTGCTCCGCTTCACAAGAGTTCACCTGTTTCGCCAGTGAGATTTGTAAACCGGAACTAGCGAAGCAGCGAAAAAGCAAAATACCCCCCCCCCCTCCCCGCTCAAACTGCGCCAAAATGTAAATTCCATACCTTATTGTTATTAGACTCCGATACAACTCGAGCGATGGTCTGAGCTGCTCGAATCTTCCGCAACTTCAAGAAACCAGGGTCCGCTCTCATAGCCTCTCCAAGCTGAACGAATAGAAATTACGCTAACTTCTAGAAGCAAAATTGAAAAAACGAGAAAAAAAAATGTTGTGCATGGACGTAATGAGCACCAGCCTGTCTAAGCGTATCGGGGCTTGTAGTTATTGTGACCGGTCGTCTTTGATATATGTCGCGCACCTTACAACAAACTGGTAGTTGACACGTTCTTAAGGTTTTGTGCGAGAGATTAACGACAAAAAAGGAACACATTCAATCTGAGAAAATGCAGGACCGTGTTCAGACTTTGCTATCGCGATGTCTGAAAGCGTCCAAAGGATAACTGTAATCCCATATTTGCCGACCTGGAGCTGTGCTCGCTTCGAGCTTGGACGTAATCTTTTTCTTGGGAGCGTTGTTGTTTAGACTCGCGTCTACAAAGGAAATGCACGCACGTCTATCGGCTTCGTTGGCTGCTACCCAGGCTAAATATTCTTGTAATTACACGACGAGGAACCGGGCCGAGGCGTGCTGTGTCAGGGAAACGAGAACAGTAAAAAGTAAATAGACAATGTAGGGGCATGGATGGCATTCTGCGGAAAGCAGAACGAGAGTAAAGAGAAGATGAAACGCGCAAGGAGCAAGGCCTTGAGGCACAGACCAATGCAGGTTCGACAAGGGACCAATCTTACGGCGACTCGCGTTCAAAGGGTAGCGTCGCTAGTTTGCTTTACCAATTTTCGGTTTACTTAATGTCTTCACCTAGTGAACTCTATACGCGTCATCAAAGCGTAAGCGAAACTCACGTACGTACTGGATCATACAGGTCTTCACAAAGCCATCTGTAATAATCACTGAGCACTACTAAAATGCCCCCAACAAGCCGAAATGCGCCCAACTTTATTACGGGAGTAGTGTGTCATCATTCTTAATAGTGTGCGAACTACACTATTAAGAATGATGAATAAGCTGAAATCACCCGGGCTGAAGAACTTCAATGAAGAAGATATAGGTGTCAAACTTTCGATGATTGAACTTTTTCTTTCTTTTTTCTGACAAGGTTCTTACGAGAGGAGGCTTTTGAGGTCCTGTAGCCATTTTCAAAAGGTTCACCGCATGCTGTAGAGGCTCATGTGGAGACCACAAAAGTGCAGAAATGCAAAACAAGGGTGAAAACAACGCTGATGGTTTTAATTCTCTAGATGAAACTGAAACACTTGCGTTGCTGTGAAAACTATTTTCTTGTGTTCTTTCTTGCGTCGGAATTCTTTGAGAAGGCAGAAATGCATCAAAAGCAGTATTTTGCGTGGAATTCGTTCCCTTCATTCGGATTCGTCGCGCCTAGATTTTTTCCTTGCCCCATATTCGCACTCCCAGAAACGTACAGCTGAAATGGTCTGCACTTATGTGGTCCCCACGTCGGCCTCTGAATCTGTCCCCTCTATCCGGCAGAAGTAAAGAGAACACAAAGCCGAAGAATTCGGTTCTCGTTAGAAAAGACCTTGGATGGATAGTTTTCAATGGACAGTCTTCTAAAAAAGTCCCATAAGTAGTGAACATCGCTTGAACACACCTGCTTCGCTTCAACGGCAGCTGAGTATTGTGGCGAGAAGGCCAGTTCAGTGAGCGAGACGTCGTCGAGGATAATGTTGAAGTCTAATGCTCGCTCGATCAGAGCTTTTCTGACCAGCATCGAGACCTACAAAAATTCCTTTGCAGTTAGATCACCTGTCGATATTTTTCAATGACGGAAAGATTCGTGATCAGCCCCAATATTCTAACTATATTGAGAGTGCGATGCAAAATCAAGCAACACGTGCCCCGGTGGAGGATAATCTAGAATTATGCATCGCTGTATAGAGCCTTGCAACTTTTAACGTAGTA